GGATTGTTGTTGGGGGCGATATGCTGACTCTGTAAACCGCTTAGAGAGGGCTGAAAGCCCTACGAAGCGGTATATAAGTCTAACTGCTATTGCTAGGATTTAGTCTATCCACATTCAGTCACTGTATATGGTTATAGGGCTTAATGGAAAGATAATGAGTCAGCCAAGAGGGGCCCTATATACTGTCTTTCTTCATTTGATTCAATCTCTGGGGATAGACTTTGGGTGAATCGGACAACCTTCTCTACTGATCAAAGATTACTGCTTCTGATTATGAAATTACATGAAAAGATTAATGCAAGTCAGATGCACTTCAGTTGTCTCTTGGTGTCAAAAATGAAGGAAGCAGAGCTGTATACTTCTCCACTGAATTTCCTATGCCTAAAGCGGGCATAATTTAATCTCAGTTCTCTTGGGATGATGAAATAGCTATTTTCTCCACAATTCAAGTGGTAGATGCATGGCCCTTATAGTATTTGATGGAGAAGACTGCTCACTTACTCTAAGACAAAACAAAAATATTAGATTACTTTCTCTCAGCTTGGAAGTAAAATATTGAAGAAGACTAGAGAGAGCATAATCTCACAGTTTTTTTTAAAATCTAAACTCATTATGGCCAATACAAAATTGAAATGGTGTGCCTTTCATATCAATCTTCAAAGTGATTAGGCAGTTTTCCTTCCAATTATGAAGCTGGCCCAGGTGGTAGACCATGTTTCAGCTTAAAGCTCTTACTCTCAAGATGTTTTCCTAATGTCTAATCTGCATCTACATCCTGAAAGTTTCATGCTGTTAGTTATAGCCTTATCTTCAGGAACAACTGAGAACAAGTCCAAACCCTGTACAATCAACTCTTTAGATATTTGAAGATAGCAATCACATTTATTCTCAACTTCTCTTCTGCAAACTAAACCTAGGTCTTTTAACTCTTCTTCTAAGGACTTAGTTTTCAATTCTTTCACCTTCTTGACAGTTCTTTTCTGGACATGCTCCAGTTTAATCAATGTTCTTTTTAACTGGGATGTGCAGAAGTGATTAAAGAGCTTTTTCTTTGCGTTGATTTAATTCTCTACTTTCTGTGTAATGGGGGGGGGATCCTTAGTACAAAGCATGCTATGCTCCTGTCAAATGTGGGATATTGAGTTCATTACTAACATTTAATTACCCTGCCCTTTTTACATTGTTTGGTGCACAAACATTATATTCCCCCCCATTATATTATTTGTTCTGACTGATGTGCTGAAGAGAAAACTTGCTTTCATTTAGCTGATGTGCCTTCTGAAGTATTTAGGATGGTATTCAGGTTCTTGCAACTGCTAGCGCTATCAGGAGATTAATGGGTTTAGAGTTCTCTGGTACTACATATTTAATGTATGTATGTATTTATTTATTTAACTCTTCAGCTTATCTTTTGTTGATTTATTTTACTTCATTATCTCTTTACTTCTCTGTTTTGCCTTACCATTTGCAATCCATATTTTTCTGTTATCTGTCTCTGGCCATAACTAAAATTGCGAAAGGTATTAATGTAAAAACACAAATAGTCTCCAATTCTTTTATACAAATGCAAACAAAAATAATACAATTCGAGTTCAATTAATGAATTCAAAATGATGTACAAAACAGAAAGTCACATTTCAAAGTCAAGAAGCATTTTTCTTTTAAAATATTTGGACTGTTATGGTAAGATCTACTACATCACTTGCTTACCTGTTTTGTGCAGTGAATGTTTCTCTTTGAGGGTGAAGGTCACTATAAACTACTCTGATGAGATCATGCTGACACAGGGCTCCCTCAGTCAAAGCCATGGATCCAATTGTAGATGGCTTAGGAATTATAAAACGGAGACAATATTATTTAAGGATAATTTCAAGATCCCACAAATAAAGTCTAACAAGAAGGAAGGTGTAATTACTATACGAAGTTTAGAAACTCCAATTTAATATCATCAGATGACAGCTTTCTTTTAGAAATAACTGTTACACTCAACTAATTTCTTACAAGAAGTCTAGGAATATGATTGTATTCTTACCTCATGGTAAATTGAAGGTTTTGATAAGGAAGGGATAGTAAAAGATAAAATTTTATTATTCCCATCTTTGTCAGCAATTTCCTATAATATAAAAACATTTGGAAATATAAGTTTATTTATTTATATTTGTATGTATGTATGTGTGTGTATGTGTATATATGTGTGTGTGTAAATATATATATGTGTGTGTTTTTTCCGTAGATTTTCACGGGTACAGGTATGCAGGTCTTGGCGTATTCGGGTCTTTTCCCGTGCTCTCAATCTTACACGGGAAAAGACCCGAATACGCCAAGACCTGCGTGTGTGTGTGTGTGTGTGTGTGTGTGTGTGTGTGTGTGTGTGTGTGTGTGTGTG